CTTTGACAGAAATATCATTTTGCATTCTTCTTTTACCAGTAGCCCAAGGCCTCAGCTATATCAGGACGCATTGGGTGTTGTACAGGGTTGCCATGTCTCCCCCTATCAGCGGGAGACTCCCGCAATTTTTTAGTTTACACGCAGACATCTTTCTCCCGCAAAACTACAGCAATTGGAAATCACCCGCAAAAATCTACCGCAATTTTTATTTTAGTATTTTAACATTTTTAATATAAAAATAATATTTTTGAGAGATATTAATTGATTATTTTTATATTTTTACAATAATTTTTATTCGAAAAACATGTCTATGTAAATTTCTTTTTATCCTGTTTTATTTTTATCCAATAATAAATCAACATAATTTCATTCATATAAGTCAGTACAGGGGAGTATATCAACATCGATTGCAATACAAAAATATTCTCAAATAATAAATAATACAGATGCAACTACATTTTCGGAATCGTATACATTCATCATGTAGTTCAACATTCACAGAGCTATATCATCACAATGTGGGTCGAATATTTTTCTCATGATATTTAACGACTCCAATATAAGTGCAAATCTTACTTGTGGGAGAACAAAAATGAGCAAGGCTATCACAAGTGTTTTAGTACCTAAATCCTAGAGGTCAATTCTAGACGATTTGAAAGATGGGCATCCATATGCAATTCTAAAAGAATCAACTAATAAGGGAAATATTAAAACATTTCCCTCGATCCATCGCTATTTCAACAAGAATAAGAACATTTCGATGAAACTGTTAAAAATTTTTCCTCGGATAGTGAAAAATTTAAGGATGTAGCTAGCCACATAATGGTAAATATAGCTGATTCAGGGTTATCAATGATTTGCATGTCAGCTATATGCGCTGATAATGCCTCTGTATGTAAATTTTGGCAAAAACCAAAGTTACCGAATTGAGGTAGCACAATAATTAATTAATATCAATTGGCTGTATATGCCATATACTACATAATTCTTGCAAGAAGGCAATAAATGTACTATCTGTGGATGTTAAAATAATTGTGATGAAATGTTTTAACGAATTTAGTCATCAACTAAAAGATATAATGAATTAAAAGAGTTTGGTCTGACTTGGAATAGTGTGAGTTGTTGCGATATATACATATTAGGTGGTTGTCATTAATACCTGCCATCGATAGAATTTTAAAATTTTACAAACCCTTAAAAAAATACTTCTTAAATAAAGATTTTAAAAGCTGTACTAAAATTTTGAAAATTTTTTAGAATATGAAATGGCAGAAGCATATTTGGGATTCGTTTCACATGTAGGAAATCTACTTCATGCAGTTAATATTCAGTTGCAATCAGAATATTCTTCATAAAGAATATTCAGAAAATCATGCTACAGCTCTTTTAATCTCTACAGTTAAAAATTGATAATAAATTTTATGGCGCTATTGCTAAAAAATATTATATTAAAATGTTCAAATAATACTATAATTAATACTTTAAATGAAGCAGATATTTTTATTAAGACAATTTTAGAATATTTACAATCAAAGTTTGATTTTAATAACTCTATTTACAAATGTATAAATATTATGACCTTGGAACAGAAACCATCAATTGATGGTTTTTATAATTTAATAATATCAAAAATACAGAAAGACATTGATTTCTTGTTTGAGGAGATTGTAATTCTCTCTATTTTTTATGATTCGCCAAAATACTTAAAGTTAGATGGTCTAAAAGCAGAGAAAAAATGGATAGAATTTTTTCGTTATAACGATAAATCCCCATGCTTAGAAAAAATATGCCAGTGTGTCTTCTCCTTACCTCATTCTAATGCCTCATCCGAGCTCATTTTTAGCCTGAAGAGGACTGCCGGGAAAAAGGAGAGTAATCGGATTGCTTAAACAACATTAGAGGCCGAGCTAATGGTTACACAAATATATAATATGTCATCCAGGAATTTTATAAATATTATTTAAATCTCAAATAAAATATATTTAAGTTTTAGCAATGGCGCCATAAAATTTATTGTCAATTTTTAACTGTAAAGATGAACACATCTGCAGCATAATTTTGTGAACCTTTGTTAAGATTCTTCTGATTGCAACTACACATTAACAGCATGTAGTAGATATCCTACATGTGAAATCATTCCTAAATATACCTCTGCCATTCATTATTGGAAAAAATTTTCAAAATATTAGTACAGCTTTTATAATTTTTATTTATGAAATATTTTTTTTAAAGGTTTATAAAATTTTAAAATTCTATTGATGGCGGGTATTAGGAACATATCGCAACCAACATTGTGCTGACTCAATTCTGTAAATACACTCTATTTTTACCAAATTCACTGAGGCATATTCAGATCAGAAAGCTGACATGCAATTTATTGATAATCTCGAATCTGTTTACATTATATGGTTTGTTTTTGGATTTTTCCCTATTTAAGGAGAAAATATTTAATAGTTTTATTGAAACGACCTTAATTTTGATGAAATAGCTGAGCTTATTAGATACATCTGTTAAAATTGTATATGTATGCCCATTTTTAAATCGTCAAGAATTGACCTCCTGGAATTAGGTCCTAAAACCTTGATGATAGCCTTGCTCATTTTTGTTCTACAAGTATAGTTTTCATTTATATTAGAGTCGTTAAATATTATGGGGAAAAGATTCTACCAACATTGTGATGATAAGTATCTCTGTGAATGTTGTACTACAAGATAAATGATTACAATTCGCAACTGTAGTTTCATCTGTATTATTTCTTATTAATGGAGTACCTGATTATGTATTAAAACGTGATAATTAAGCGTCTTTCCCTAAAATGTTATACACACACGATAGATTTCTAATTGCGGTCGTTTTGTGGGACATTCGCATAAAATATTTTTTAATTGTAAAATTAAAATAGTTTTTTTTATAAAATTTTATCTTGTTTACATTCTTTTATATTTAAAAAAGATCGTTGGTTTTTTTTTATAAATTAATATATTTTAATAAATCAAGATGTTAAAATAGTTACCGAATTTGTATTTATATAAACTAAATAAAAAATAACAGGCGGATAATTAAGTCAATTGCGGGCCTTCGGTCCGCTAACAAATATTTTAAACAATTTTCATATTTCTACCGCAATTTTTATATTTCTCCCGCATAATACCAAATTTCTTCCCCAATTTGAAAATCTTGACCTATCAAACCTGGTCTCGAGTAAAATTTTTAACACAAGTATATTTTTGACATTATTACAAAACTATTATTTTAAGATATAATATACAAACTAGAGGTGGTGCGACAATAATATATAAAATCTTAATTGCTTTCTTCATATCACTCAGATTCTTATCGTATAGTTAAAAAAGGTTTAATTTCTAATATGGCATCATTGCCGTGTAAACTACTCAAGCCTTCAATATATTTGCATAATTTCTTCTAAAGATTGTGTTTTTGTTTGATCAATTTATCTAATATAATAAATTCTGATATAGGTTAACATCGTGAGTGTCATGGCCATGACTTCAAATTAACCAGCATCTATTATTTGTGTGGCTATGTTATTTAAGTTTATTACTACAGCTATTGGAGCATATAATTGCATATTTTAGATATGCTATATCAACTGTGTAGTCTTTTATATATCACTAAAATTGGAAGATATTGTTTAAGAAATTTAATATCTCACCATGATTTTCTCGATTACTTATCTAGCTTCCATCATATCATCTAAAGGGAAGCTCTAACCACCATATAGTTCTATGATTTGGATTGGTGATTTATATTCTCTTGTTTAAGAATTGTCGATTTGGTTAGGCCTATAAGTTTTTCCTATTAGTTCATTCTATAAAACATTGTCAAAAATGGTAACAGAGAGTTATATTAGTTACATGACCTTTTGTCAATGTAATTTGCTAAGAATTATATTATATTATGCAGTTTTTAAAAACCACTATCAATTGAGGCATATGTATGAATTAATTAACGTTTTTTTTTATCACTTGTAAATCTTTAGACCAATGATTTAGATTTTGTATTAAAAATTATTATTTTTAGAAATGTCTTGTATTGTTTTAATTATTTATATGCTAGTTTATTTTGTATGCATAATATAATAAATGACAAAATATGAAATTCAGAGTAATTATTCAGAGTTAGCAAATATTAAAAACTATAATATATTATTATACCTGCCGAAGGCCGGACAAAAGCAGGCCGAAGGCCTGCCCTGATAGCGTTTTACCTTTGAAAGCTAGAGACATTATTTGAAAAGGGGGTAGGTTTTAGGGGTTGCCTCCAGTAAATTTATGTAATGTAGACGCTGCTCATCAGTTCCCTTCATTTTAAACATTATCATAGCAGCGGAAAGGCCAAAAATTAGAAGTCATTATCTTTTAGATTCATTTTAACCTAATAATTATTCTCTAATAATTAATCCCATCATTAGATTGATAAAATGTTTATCAGATCAATGGATATTGTGGATCCTCTTTTAAAATTTTGCAATCGAGCTAAATTGTTGCGTTTCGATACCATAATTTTTTTAGGATAAAAGGCCTTGTTTTCAAAATTCATTGTTTTTTCCTATGAAGGATGTTTTTTTAAATATGTTTTTAAAATTTAATTATGAATTTAAATAGTTCACATGTTTTATATTTTTATTAGTATATTTTTTATAATAAAAGTTTTTAAATGTCAAAACTAGTGTAGGAAATACACCTTTATATATAAAAGTTGGATTAATTTTTTTTAAGAGTTGGGCTATCTGTGATATATAAAGCTATCTAGGCAGTCTATGTGTTATGCGCTCTAGAAAGGAGGGGGGGGGTTTGGATAGTGGAAAATATGTTTAACATTATAATAATTATAAAATTATTCTCCTTTTCCTTCGAATAAATAAATTGTAAGCTTGATATAAAATTTCAGTTAGATACTATAATAATATCTAATAAAATTACTAGAATAACAAAAATCTCAACAAAAAAAAATATCAATCATTTTATTTTCGTAAAATTTATATATCTATGATATTCATAATATTAAAATTTTGAAATGGGAAAAAATTCTCTCGATAAAGCCACATTATTAATTAGAAACAACTGTAACCATAGCTTAGAGATAAAAGGACAATCAAAATGGTGCTATAAGGTATGATATATAAAAATTTTACTAATATAAATTAATTTATAGTGTTCCCTAAATTTTATCGCAAATATTCCAGCTTTTAAAAACACTTCTATAAGGGTTAATACTACTCATCCTTCCTCACTCTCCGTTCATTACCAATATAATAATAGTGATAAAACAAAATGCGAGTATTTTTTATGAATTATATATTTTTATTTCTGATTTTAATTAGACTTCAATATCATTTTGGTGAACGTGGCATTTATCTACTTAATGTAGATAATAATGACATCAATTGTCAGTTTAAAACGGTATTAGATCCTATAAGATCTAACTTTCCTGTCACAATTTTTTCAGTTATATTAATTTTATTAATTTCATTCTGGAATGCTAAGTTAGTAATATTTTTATACAAATTATATCTACTATTTTTAGAAAAATTGGAATTAATAATATAAAAGAAAAAATTAAAAAAAAATTTGCTAAAAAAGTAAATTTAAAAAAAAATGATTATATATTAATTTATTCAATATACATTATTAATTTAATGGCTTACTTTATATCAATATGTTACTAGAAAAAGAAATTTAAAAACAAATCTATAGGTTTGGCTTAATTTTTATTTTTATACCCATCTCTCAGTTGATATTTATCATTTAAATCTCACTGTAGTCTCTTTCTTGAGGGCATTTTATTTATAGAAGATTGCCCAATGGTTGCATTATGCTATTGTTCCTATTGACAAAAGGATTAAGTAAATTTAATTATTACTTACAAATTTTGAAATGACAAAGTTAAGACTTTATTCTGAGATAATTTATAAAAATTTGGAAAATAAATATTTTTAATATAAAAATGTTGACAATGAATATATCTCAATATTAAGACTGACAAATAAAATTTCATAAATTATTCTTAAAAAATATATGTATTCTTTCTTTTATTTAACCTCAATAATATTAACCTATTCTAAAAAACTCTACCCAAAAAAGAATTGTCTTATATTCCCTAAAATACCAACAAACCATCATAACTTTAATGTTTATTAACATCATTATTAACACAAATTGGACTGTGCTAATATTAAAGATCAGACTTGGGCCAATATTTAGCATTTAAAAATCATTGGATATCAGGCAGATATATTCAAAAAACTGATATCTTATAAAGAAAACCTATCCGATGTGATATTTATTATTATTTTTGGTTATTTTTTTGATTATATTTATAATTTTATTTTAGACATAATTTCATAATGATAACAAAACAACTAAAGAAAGCAATAAATACAATTTATTCGTAGTGTTTTATGAAAAACTGAATTATTTAAGAAAAAATATGTTATTTTATCTACAACAAAAAAAGGATTTAAAAATATCAAACAAGTCACATTATTTGTTATTGGTTTCATTTGACCAATTTTTAAAAATGGCTAACTCAAGATATTAGCTACAAAATATTTAAAGCTTTGAGATTTTGCCCATAGATGGTAAAAAGGCTCAGGCATCATGACAAAATTTCTAGTTATAGCTAATAATAGTTATGACTAGCTTCTTGATTTTGCCCTTTTTAAAAGGTGGCTAAATGGAGGTGTTTAACAACTTTATATTATTTTAAATTAGTTATTAACTTTTGGAGAATAAAAAAAACAAGATACACTTAAATCATTCATGAAAGTTAGCTATTTTTTTGAACAGACACATATTTTATTATGACATTAGTTCAAAGATAGATAAATTAACATCAATATATATATATCGTTAAAAGTTAATGGAACAGGTTTGTAGTAGGATTGGACTAGTGAAAAATTTGTAGATTGGTGCAGCCCTAAAAACAAATAAAAACTAATATGAAAAAATAGATAAAATTATTGATACATTATTTTTTTTAATTATTGAAACAGCTAGCTAGTGTCCAAAAAATTGGCTTAGGCTCAAGCCTACTCAGGAGTTGGGTCAAGCCTTTTAACCCTTTATTGCTATATTTCAACATTAAAAAAAATCCTCTATTGCTCACCTATAAAAACTTGAATAATAATCACTGAGATTGTTTAAAATGTTATTTTTTGATATTTATTGAAATTTTATAATTATAAAATACAAAAATTACAAAATAATTTATAACTGGAGGAGGGACATATTTTTCCCACTGTGTATTATATACATTATTTTTTGTTCTGAAAAAAAAATCAATTTCTTTTAGCGTTAATACATAGCGAAACTTTACAAATAGAACATTCCCAGGATGTCCTAGAACATTCCCAGGATGTCCTAGAACATTCCCAGGATGTCCTAATATATTTTCCCAAGGGATTACGAATCACTAGCAAGAATATAGAAATATGATCTGATCCCTTTTCCCTTGTATCATCAGCGACATATTTTTTATGAAATTTTGAAGGAGTTGATATTAGATTGCTTTGCAAGGATGATGATACACTCAAGTCAAGAATCTTTTGAGATAGAAGATTTTGGATAATTTTTAATCGAAATAGAGACCTCTTATATAATCATCAGAGCCGTAATCTGATAAAAAATTTGGTGGGGGTATTGTAATTGCCCTCCAATTTAATTCAATTAGGTTGTCCTCGACTTCCTTTGAGTATATTTCAAAAGAAGAATCCGAATCAGTTGAACATATATCAGACAAGAAAATTTTTTTGAAAAATTTTATAAAAATATAATATTTTTAAAATATAAATGTAAAATAAGCATTATTATACAATGGGACATAAAATGACCAGATACATTTTTTGTAACTGCCAAAAAAATAAATGATCATTTTTAAAAATATTGATATTTTGTTTAGAATATATAAATGTTTCTTATCATTTTTTATTTATCAAATATACCAGAATTTTGCTAAAGTAGTTTTAAAAATTTTATAAAAAAAATTTTACATAAAATAAAATAAAAAGGTGGGATTGATAAAATAGTAAAATTTTTGCGCACGAAAATATTTAAATAAACATAAATAATATAATTTTTTAAATGGGGTAAATTTATACCATCTGTGTATTAAATAAAATAAAAAAATCAAGCTGGGTTAAATATGTCCCACCATGTCCTTTTTTAGGTGGGACAAATTTCAACCGGCTGTGTAATAAAGGGTTAATTATTGGAACAGCCAGCTAGTGTCTGAAAAATTGGCTTAGGCTCAAGCTGGCTCAGGAGTTGGGTCAAGCTGGCTCAGAACTTGGCTCAAGTCCTGAGCTCAGGAGTTGGCTTGAGTCCAATTGTGAGCCAAAATTTATTTATTTAGATATTTTAAAAGAATATAATAAAAATTAGAATTCGTGTGCCGCCATATTAAGTTCCATCATTTATATTTTAATAATATTTATATTTTTTTGTTTAAAAAATTTTTTTTAAAACAATAATTTATATTATGTTATGAAAATGGATTTATTTATTTGTTGTTTTTTTGATAAAAAAAAATGATATGCTGTATTGTAATTAATATTATTTATGTTACAATTTATTAGTGATTTTCATGCCCAAAATTTAAGCAAAAAATATTTTTTGAAGTTCAAAAAGATTTTTGAACATATTTTGATTTGATAAAAATTTTAAATCTTGTTTGTAAATAAGTCTTTTTTAATGATTGTGATCTTTTATAGTTTTTTTAATCATTTTTATATTATCTATTTTTTAAATATATAAAAAGAGGTGGTTTTTTCTAAATAATATATTTTTTTAAAATAGTTATTGACAAAAACAAGAGAAAAAGAGAGATTCAAATGTTAACTATATCAAAAATTACTAAAACGAAATTCTAATATAAGAATAAACTCAGAATGAAAACTATCAAATTAATGAACTAAATTATGACTTAAAAAATAAATGCAACACGAACTAAAATTTGGACTTATATCTTTATTGAATAAAATGTATTCATCATCTTTATTAAATAAAAAATATTCATCAAATTACAAAGGTCAAAAATTATAAGCGCAAAATGTTATCATAATTCAAAAAAGGTTTTATTAAAATTAAAAAAAAGTTATCAAAAAATAAAAAGTCACAAGTTTTACAAAAATTAAAAAAGTAATCTTTTTTTCTTACAAAAATATAATATCAATTAATTTCTAATATTTAAAAATGACTGACATTTTTCTAACTAAATACAAAAACATAGATAAATAAATATGATTGACATTATCTTATAAATGTATTATTTATGACAGTTATATCAAACTTTTTTATGTTATTTTACATGATCTTTTGAAGGATAATATTTTAATGTGACAATTGTCATAGTTATTTTTCAACATTTTTGAAATTTTTTGGCACAAAAGTGTGTAAATAATATTTATATTGTAAAGATTTTAAATTATAAATTCAATGAAGATGTTCCTTGGAAAAATGACAATTATCATAATCGGTATTTTTAAACATATTTGATTTTTTTGACGCTTATGGGCAAAATTTGTATTAACATGTTAAATTAAAATTTCAATTAAGATGTATTATATAAAAGTGACAATTGTCATAATTGTTTTTTTTAAAGTTTTTTGAATTTTTTTGATGCAAATGGGCAAAAATAAGTATTGCTAACATAAATAAAACTTCAGTGAAGATGTACTCTAGATGAGTGATAATTGTCATAATCGTTATTTTTAAATTTTTTTTATTTTTTTTGACGCAAGTGAGTAAAAATATAGATTGTCAACATGTTAAAATAAAATTTCAGGGAAGATGTACCATAGAAAAGTGACAATTGTCGATCATTATTTTTAAAGTTTTTTGAATTTTTGGGTTAAAATTAGTGTTATAATTTATTTTATAAGTAAAGAAATTAAAAGATAATCATTATTTTTTTTAAGCTAAAGATATTTTGATAAATAATCATTTATTAACTCAAGATTTTATTTCTTTATTCTTTCAGTAAATATTAATTCATTTTTTTATTAAATATTTTTAAAGGTGGTTTTAATTAATATTAAGTATATGAATTTTTAAATGTGGTTATTTAAATAATAATTATTTTATCAGATAGCTGCAGAAATATTATTTGAATGGCCCAATTAAAAAAATTTTTTTTTTATCCCGGCTCCTATTTTCAAAAATAAACTAGGCCTGGCCAGGATTTAAAAAAAAATATTTAGACATAGTCCGTGCTTTTTTAATGTTGTTTTAGGTCTAACTAACCACCATCTTTCAATTGTTATAGCTCATTATTAATATTTCTATATTCAATATCAACAAAGATTTTACCTTATAATATATATATACATTTTGTCTCCTGTTGGAAAATTCTCTCGTTGAGCCACTTGAGTGGCCTCCAGAACTCTTAGATAGCTCACATGCTTATTTTTAACTACAAGTATAAATATATTTAAAAATTCTTCCACTCCAGTCTAGTGCTTTGTTTTGGATAATTTTATGAATAATATTTTAGTTTTAAAAATAAATTATACATTTTAAGAAAATATTAAAAACACAAAAGTATCAGAGTAATTTTTCTTTAATGCCGCTTTTATTTTATTTTATATTTTCAATTAATGTCTAAAAGTTTTATATATTTTTTTTATTGTTTATAAAAATGTGTTAGAAAGTAAATAACATTCAATACTGGAAAATTCACAATTTAAAAAATTTTTTTATTTTCTTTTTAAAATTCTTGGTTAAATCTTTTCCATTTTTACTTATAATTTACTTAATTTGAAAACCAATTTAAATAAAAAATAGCCACTATAGTTAACTTCACTTATTTTTTACTTGAAATATTTTATTTAATTATTATATTAAAAACTATTAGGCCAAAATAAACCAAATATATGAAAATATATTTAAATAATAAGCCTTACAAAATTCTGAGTCAATTTTCGACTCAAATACAAGCTGAGTTTAGAGCTAAGCAGGCTTGGCTCAGCCATTTAATAACACTAATCGCAAATTAATAAATTTCGGCTCAAAAGTCGGCTTGAGCCAACTCCCGAGCTAGCCTACTAATATGGCTCAAAGAGCCGAGTTAAGCCTGAGTCAATTTTCGACTTAAAAACTAGATGAGTTTAAAGCTAAGCCGGCTTGGCTCAGCCATTTTACAACACTAATCTCAAATAAATAAATTTCGACTCAAAATGTCGGCTTGAACCTACTCGAGCCAGCCGACTAATATGACTCAAAGAGCTGACTTGATGAGTTGATTTTCGACTCAAAAACTAGATGACTTTAGGGCTAAGTCGGCTTGGCTCACCCATTTAACAACACTAATCGCAAAAATAAATTTCGGCTTAAAAATTGGCTTGAGCCAAATTCTGAGCCTACTCGAGCCAGCCGACTAATATTGCTCAATGAGCAGGCTTGAGCCTAAGCCCAATTTTCATCTCAAAAACTGGCTGAGTTTAGGGTTAAGCCGGTTTGGCTCAGCCCTTTAACAACACTACAGCCGGCCACCTAAAATGAATGTTAGTCATTGGGTAGCACAGGATTATCAAATTTGCCTTTTTATATTTTTTTAGGAGCTTGATATTCATAGGAAACTGGAAATGTATCAGCTCATCTTTTCTTTATCTGGATCTTGAGTCTAACCCCATTAAAACTTTATGTATGGATAAAGCATGGTAGCTAATAGCAATTACATACTCATATAATGATTTCCAGCTTCATAAGATCATAAATTAAAATTCATCCAAGACTTCATTTTCATTTCTTATTTCATTATCATACGGAAATCTCTAAAAAGCAAAATTTCAAAAAAAAATTTTTAAACAATTTTTGAAGATTTTTTGATCATATTAAAATACTTAAAAACCTTAATGAAGTCTTTATGTCCATTGTCTTGTATATTTTATTTTGAATACAAAAACACCTTTCAAATATTTTGATATCTTATCAAATGTATGCACCATTTAATTTTTCATGGACAAAATTTTTGTAAACACAAACTATGGAAAAATATGGTATTGTTGGTTAATGATTTATCAACTAGTTTAATTTAAATTAAATAGACAATTTAAAATAATTTTAATTTATATGAAAATTATATATTTTTTTTATTTTCAAACTTGAACTTAAAAATATTGAGATTTAACTGTAATTTTAGATAAAAAGTAATGACTTTTTTCTGATCCGGACAAATTTTCGATACATTGAAATGTCAAAGGTATTGCTGATACCTACCTAACCCTCAAAAATCCCTTTTTAACCTTGTTATAACTTATATGTTATAAAAGTTATCATATTTGAGTAAGATATTATTTGAATATTATATGTTTTAATATTATATAAACTTAAAAGATCAATTGAATTAATTAATTTTATAGTCTACAAAGCATTTAGTAAAGATTACTTTCATCATCATGTACATTTTAAAATATAGAGCGTAGAAAACCTTACCAATATAAACTAATAAAATATCAACTCTCGGAAATTTCATGATATATATTATATTACGAACAAAAAATTGCATTATACTTCTTTTATCAAATTGAGTAGTATAGTTATTATTTTCTTAAGAACTTAACAATTAGCCCCTCATGTTTCATATTGAGCCTTTTTTTATGCTGATCAAAATGTAACTGCCAGAGGTTTTACAAAAATTAATCACATTATACTGGATTCTGTGGGATAGTGATTAAAAAGTTTAAACATTACAAATATATCCAAACCAGCTTTTTGTTTAACCAAATACACCTATTGTTATTATAATCATTCTCGTCCTGACAATGAAGTTGATCAGGATTTTAGTCGGAGTGGGGGAACCTCCTAAGTTTACTGGACGGCTTTAGAGCTCATTTTTGAAGGTTGCATTAAAAAAATTATCTTTTACTTGGCAAAGGGATTTTGATTTTTTTGAATCGATCGGAATAAGCTTCCAAATCTTTGCTGATTAACCTTAAGCTAGCATTTCTTAAAGGCTAGACAATTCGAAAAAGATTTGAACCTCAAAAGGATTTAGGGTAGAAACTTATTTTTTTTATTGTGCTCCATGATATTTTAGGGTCGATAAATTTTCATTTATGATCACATTTTCCCTTATCACAATTTCAAAATTATAAGTTTTTTAGTGTAAATTATAAATAAAAAATACGCAATTAATATTGCTGACAAGGTTATTATAAGATTTATTCATTGAAATAAATGATTTATCCTCAAACGTTGCAAATAGGATTAAAATTAAATAAGAGATTACTATTTATGTTTCAATTATATTTAAAACTGATCAAAAGATATTTCATAATCTGAATAAGTGATAACATTCACCAGCATGATAGTTGTTAACTGCAGAAGATCCATTTATATGTTAATGGTCATATTTTTTTACTTGAAATTTCAAAACTTAAAGTGAACATTTTATTTTATGTAAGGTGCCATGCCAGATTTAATATTGTTTTTTATTTTTGCGAGTTGCAAAATTAGCCAAATCTAAAACAATTGTCCCGACATATTTATTGAAATAAATAACTTTATAAATTTTTTGGGAAAATAATAATTAATTGTTTTTGTAAGGGAAAAATCGAGAAAGCTAAAATTATGAACTTTAAAATTTTTTATGAAAAAAACAAGAAATGATTAGTCATAGTCACCCATTTTGACTATGAATTAAAATTGGCATTTTATTCTATTTCAAGTTTTATTTTTTTTGAGTTTTGAATTTTAAATTATTAACTATGTGTTATTTATTCATTATTTTTGAATTAAAAAAAGTGGAGATAGGGGTTTCAATCCGAACCGCCTCATTGTGAAAGTTTTTTGGTCTGGCTAAAATATTTTCCACAATAGATTTGCGATTAAAAAAATATCCTATGACAAAAATACCCCCGAAACAGTGGGAAAAATATACCCTCATGTGGGTGATAACCTTTTTTTCTCACTTTCAAAGGCGAATATAATATTTATGGTAAATAAGTAGGTCATCAAGTAATATATTATTTATTTATTGGAGAATGGGGGGGGGGGTATTTGAAATTTGAGGTAGCTCATCAATTGTTCAGAATGAAATAGAATTAAAAATTTTATAGTTAAACAATTTAAGGGTTATACAAAAATTATAACATGAAAATAAGGAGAAAAATACATAGAATTATAATGGCTAAAAATTCGGGCAAAAGCACACAGAACAAAAATAATGCTGTTAAACGGCTCGATTTTTTAAAATGGCTAACCTAATATTTTAGGCAAACAATATTACACAAGCTTGGAGATTTTACTTATTGATGGCAGAATGAATTGTATGTCTATTAACGAAATCTCTAGGCTTGCATACTATTGGCTAAAATATTGGGTTACCGTTTTTAAAAAATCGAGTCGTATAACAACACAACCCAAGGACAAGAAAACACAAGAATATCCCAATTTTAGAAAAAAATTTAAATGCTTAGAAAAAGAGTAATTTTAAAAATATCCTTCCTTGAGCTTTTTTTTTTTAAAATTTGGATATTTTTGTCTTTTTGTTCAGTATATTTTTGTCGGGGATTCAAAGCAAAATCATATGATATTAATTATATTGTTTGCTAAATTATTTAAGCATATACTTCGGAAATTTAAAAAAAATTTACCTTCACGTTTCCTTAAACCGAACCGTTATAATTTTCTGAACTGTAACGAACCATTAAAAAGAAAATATAAAAACAGCGAACCGAACTGTTACAAATTTTTAAAAGCGCTTATAACGGTTCAGTTTAAACCAATTCATAACGGTTTTTAAAAATATTTTAAATTATTAATATAAATTTGAAATTTTAATCTGGGGACAATTTAAATTCGTGATTTCTTTTCAAATTAAAATTTTTTTACAATTAAATCGCCATTATTTTTATATCAATCATTACCAAGTTTATTTATACTTAATATACTCAATTGCAAATTACTAGTTAATAAATAATTTTCATGATTAAATTAAATAAGGAATTGTAAAAGTATAAATTAAAAAAATTTTCTCTAAGATTAATATTTTCTTAAAAATTAAATTTATAAAAAGCGGAATGGACCGAAAAAAATCGTTATAAATTCTGAACCGAACTAACCGTGGATGTCTTAAAAAAAACCGAAATGGAACAAAAGCTTTATAGAATTTCTAACCAAAACCTAAACGAACCGAACCGCCATATATAACGGTTCGAAGCCCTGATTAAAGGTGCCACCTTAAGATTTTTTTCAAAAAAATCTTCATAATGCATTTGCACTTCCGCACTGCCATATTTTATTCTAAAACGCTTTTAAAGAATGAGTTAAAGATTTATTCTCAAATTTATTATCACTAATCTTTTGCTCTCATTTGGCATCTGAAATGGATTTTTTTTTCTCACTTGAGAGGAGTGGGATGAGGCTATCGATAGTGTTCATTTTTCTTATTTTTGAGTTTCTTATATATTATTTAGCAAATTAGTTGGTTTTTTTAAATAAAAAAGGAAATATTTTATTATGTAATTTAAGGGAGGACAAAATGAAAATGGCCTTCCAATAAATACTCAATGTGATACTGTACAAGTTTACGATACAAACATTTTGGTGATTTCTGAGCAACAACCTCTAATCATGACTCCAAGTCATTCGATAAGCAACGTGAATACCATTATTGGAACAAAATTTCCGACCTTGAAGTGCGAACAAGTGATGACTGGTAAAGAAAGCGCTACAGAGATACCATATAAATTCACTCTTAAAGAAATAGCTGCTATTCATAAACTTCATAACGACAGTTTGTTCAATAATTTTATTTTTAAGTGTAAAATAATATAATATACTAACTCAATATTGGGAAAAGTATAACTATCAATTATCCAATACAGAATTTAGAATATTTATGTTTAAGTCCGGCATTGATACTTCTCAAAACCGGTCCTAGACGTTCAAATTTTTTCGAAAGCTCAGGCATGATCCGAACTACGTTCTTATATTAAGAAATTGGTAAGTCGTCTGACTTGGATTTTAGGTCTCTTTTATCGAGATTCTTTAATTGATAGAAACTTTTTCTTGAAATATAAGGTCAGGCAGACTAGATTATTATTATGACATAGAGAAGATCAAACGAAGTATAACGTTTATGGGACGCGTCCCATTTTTTTAGAAAAAAACAACCGGATATCCGTCTAATTTTTTATAACAAATTAACGTGTTAAAATTGGTATTTTTTCTGAAGTCTTCAGTTGTCTCCATTAAATTTATTATAGAAAATATATATTATATTCAAATTTTGTTTATCTTACTTCATTAGTTTTAAATATGTAAGCGTTTTATGAAGAACATGAGTAAATTATACGTTATGCCACATCAGAGTAGCATGTTTTCAACCTTATTTATTGAATATATGGGGGAAAATGACGATATTACTTTTTTTTGCCACTTGAATTATTTTTAAAAAATAAAAATTTTCAACAATAGTTAAATACGCAAAACATCTTTTGAAAATAAAAAGTATGTAATATATTCATCCGTTAAATGTTAGGAACTGAAATCACGACAATTTACCATTAAAAAAACTATATGAAAAATCAACGCATAATTATATAGAACTAAATTTTATTGATTCTTATTTGATTATTTTATTTTTATTAATTTTTTTTTTTGTTTCAATAAACAATTTTACGAATTCTTTATATAAAATTCTTTCCCAGGCTGGAGTAATTCATAACTAAAATTGATGTTTTATAAATCATTAAATAAATGATTGGAAAAAAATTTAATGTTATGTGGAGTTTTTTTTATGTAAACAATATTTCTTTATATTAATAAATTGTCTTGGTTTCAGTAGTTTGTATGGGTAAAAAGTTAAAGTATTAGTCATTCATCTCTGAAAAAACTAGTGTCTACACTGTTTAAGGCCTCGGTTGAACGATGCGACACGCATTATTGGGTATTTTTCAAAAGCAAGCAAATAATATGTAAAATTTATAACAACTACGATGCGATGAAATAAATTACATCGCTATGGATTATTAAGATTTACCTTTGATTTATTTACTTTTTAGAAATACCTAACAATGGGGGCCGCATCGCTCGAGCAACTCGCGCTTACTATAAACAAGGCCTAAGGCTCCATTTGTATGTATAATAAGTTCAATGCTAGTTAAGCGATGCAATTTATCGCTAAATGATAGCGTCGCTCTATCATTTATCATTATTTAAATGAGGTTTAACTCTTTTTAAAAGTTTTCAGGATCTTGAACTTAAAATATCTAAGTTCTTAGAATATGAAAAGAGTATTTTATTATTTTTCTCCAATGGCATGTTCAGTATTTCATTTTAAGCGCTGAGCTATAGCATATTTGTGGACAAATTCTGTCCAATATATAACGTCCCTGAGACGTGTCTCGTCTCGGATATACTATCTTTGGGACGCACCCTATTTTTTTTCTACGTAACATAATAAATTTTTCATATAAAATCTGTGATTACGCCTTTACATGATTTTAGTCTATTAAATTTTATTACTTTTTAGACGATGAAATTAATGCATTGGATACCAATAATCACCTGTATATTGATAATGAAGATAACAATACGAATATGGTAATAGCTAAACGCGACGCCATCTTGGATGTGGTCGATTTTGAAAGTGTTGGGAAAAAAATAGATAATCCGCCAGTGATCGAATCAAAGTCCCCACCATATAAAGAGAATAGTAGATTGACGTTTTTGGACACTTTTAGAGGGTAAGAATTTTTTTGAAAAATATGTGTTTAAATTACTAACGGGAACCTATTTTTAAGTGAAATAATATAAACCTAGAATTTTTATATATTTTGTATATTTTTTTATCCATATAAAATTAATATCTGACCATAAATAAAGAATATCAGTATTAAATACAAAATTGATTAATATTTTTTGATCAGTTAAGAAAATAATTTGATAAGTAAAAAAAATAATTTATCAGTAAAAATAAAATTTGTTCAGTAAAAAAAAAATTCACGTTTCTTTATAACTAATAATGAAATTGACTTGTGACGACAGAAGTCATTGAATGTCCTAAGAACAATGCTTTTTTTAAAAAACTTCTCACACCGATTTATGCGCATTTCTTAGAGTATTAGGCATCTTTCCCCATCACGGAACATGAAATTTAAACTTATTAGATGAGGTTCGGGCAGTAAAATTAAAAGGTTAGATATGGGTTAGGTTATGGTCTAACTAAACTATGAATACTCAGGGGTAATTCCATGACAAATCGACCGATTCCGACAACCATCTCAAAAATGAATGAAATTTGGCATGTTAGGTATTTATGTTGTTAATGTTAATAAAATCAATTTTAGAGCGCTAGCTCAACCAGATCCAAAGATATGAACCTTCATGAATTAAATCTTGTTTTTTAAAAAAAAATACTTAAGATAGAGTTACAATTAGAGGTGGACGCGGGCCTAATTTTTTATTCACGGCCCGCCCGCTCAAGGTGGCAATAAAAAAATTCACGCTTACCACTAAATAATTTTCGACCTGCTCGCTCACCAAAGGCGATATTTTGCACGCTCGTCACGCCCGAAATTCACGGTGTTTTAAATTTTTCAAAATTATTGCTATAATTTTACACTTTTTTGAATTTATTCTATTTATTTCTCTAATTTCATAATCCATATTAATAACAAAAAATAAATACAATCTATAATTTGAATTTTTTATTTAGAAAAAGAAGAATGTTTATCTTTTTTTTATTTCAATTGTATACGCCTTTCCTCTAATAAGAGATTAGCTACAGAAATAATCTTTCACTAGAAGCCAAACTTGCCGGGGCTAACAAAATTTTACTCGCTAATTTTCTCAAAAAAGGAAATCCTGCTTCCAAAACTTCAAAAGATAGGAACTAAATAGTTCTAATCCATTTTTGAGGGATCTCTTCATTTCTTAGTTTTATTGTCTTGTTATTTGTTTTATGAGCGATGAATCTTTTAAGTTCATCCTCACAGCTTTCACTGGTAGATGTTAGTGCTTCATCTGAATCATCTAGAAATTCTCTAAATTTTTCATTTAGAATATACGGTCTTTTATGAGTGTAGTGTAAGATGAATTAGGAAAGTTATAAATGATAGTTGGCATTGATCATTTAGAATATACGGTTTTTTATCAATGAAAAGAATGATAAACATAGGATGGAAAATCCTAGGAAAGTTATAAATGATAGTTGGCATTGACTTATGCATATCATCTAATTTTATATCATTATTTTTAAGGTTGTTTTATATATATAATCCTTTTCTTCTTTTATTAAACTTAAGACTTTTGAAATTCGGATCTAGAATTAAGCCTATCTTATGTAATGGCTGGATAATAAATCTTTCTTTAAAAGAAATCTTGTTTTGTTTTTTAAGGTTTTGATTATTATTGCATCACTTTCAGAAGGTTAACAAAATTTTTTTTATTTTTGTTTCCATAGATAAATTTAATTGAGCATTCTTTAAATATTGATAAAAATTTATCTAACTCGCATATGTTGTTGATATCAATTGGGGCTAATTTTAATTCTTGCTTGCTAAACAAGTATACCATTTCAGAATATGATTTTAAGAAACACTGTATCATGATATATACAGAGTTATCTCTTTATTAAATATTGTTTAAGGGTGTGTCTTAGCATTCTATTAGCTGTAGATTGTTTGAAATATTATACTCTTTTTTTTACACCATTTATATTTAAGACTATTTCTTTGAACAATTGTCAAAAATTCCAAAATTATTGCTGATCCAAGATTAGTGATATAATATCTCTTTTACCACATTATGTTAAATATTATATATAACTGTACTAAAATTAATATATATTGCAAGATAAAGAAATAATAATGACAGTTGCATAATAAAAATGAGATAACTATAAGTACCTAGGAGATTAATTACATATCAGAGATAAATTTTATTTCTTACCAAATATTCACAATCATAATTATAACAAAAGTTTCAAGAAACGTATTTGCAAAAAGGAGAATAGATATATGCAAAAAACATATATAAGATCAATAAAGAATTAAGAGACCTGTAGAGGTCAAAATCTTAGGTCCAGAAAGGAATTTTTCAAGCCAAAATCGGCCCGGATTTTTAGAGTTATATATTATTTTTCGGGCTGGGCCTATGAGTCTCTTGTAGTAATTGTTGATTTAGTAATATAATATAAATTTGATTCTATATTTCATTATTGAGTAAATAAATATCAAATTATCACCCCCCCCCTAAGGACGAGGGGGGGGTTCTAAAAATTTTTGCTCTCCTGAAAATTTTACTGTAGGATGACTGCATCCTACCTCTACTCTGAGAATTTCTGACGATCATTTGTCTCCCCCCCCCACTATGTTGGAAGCCATTGAATTACAGTTAATAGTAAGTAATGTTTGTAAAAAAGAATGATTTAATACCATTGAAAAGAATGTGTTGATAGATCTAAAATAAACTATTTTAAATATATAAAATAAATATCTTTTAAGACGAAATTGGATCTTTAATTATTGTTAAATATAGAAAGCTTGTAAAGAATAAATTTATAATAATAAAAGTCAACGTATAAAAAAATTTAATTTTATGATATATCGATGGAAGATATGTTTTATCAATAAATGCTATTTAAATTTTTTAATAAAATATTGTTTTAAATTATTTTTATAATGGTTTTATTCATTAAAATATTCAACGACTTCTATAAATATACACCAATTTTTTTTACAAATTTGTTTCAAACTTTCCCTTTTGCATGTAATATAAATTAGTAATTATATTTCAGTTAATCTATAAGTATTTGATCTGTTCAAATACTCTAAGAAATCGCAAGGAAAAAAATTAAAAATATAGACAAGAATTAGGCATTTTACAATGTGATGTTGATCAAAATATATTGATATCATAAATTTCAGAAGTAAAAGCTGCATGTTTAATAGCAAATTATGTGTAAAAAATTAGCTTCCTTAAGAAACAATTAAATCAGGCCTTAAGTTAGTGGAATGGGCTTTGCCACCATGCCCCTTAAGAGATGGCATTTTACTAACAATTACTAGTTCTACTTCTTCTTCAGAAAGAAAAATTGATCGATTTGGGTAATCTTACTAAAACAGAAATTGATTGAAGATCTCAACAACAGGGTCAAAAAATATTAAAGAAAATTATAATATTGAATATGAATCAGAATAAGACTGATACGGAGAGCGAAACATTAGTTATTCAATGACAATGAATTTAAAAAAATATTATAAAATTAATAATATTGATTCATTTTACTATTATATGTAAGGACCGGCCAAATACAAACCCTGGTTTTTATAAATTATATCTTTAGATATTGAATTGGGAGATTTTAAGTGGTTTCTCAAAATTCCCTTCGAAATTGGAACGCTCATGTTTATATCCATCTCTGTCTTCATTTTTGACATCACGTATCTTTTACCACCCCTAAGATAATCTTTTAAATTCGGCCTTGAATGCTTGGAAATCTTTGGCTTTGCCAGAAGCCACAGACTTAACACGCCAATCAATTTTTGAGCCGTTGATTAAAAATTTTCTTAAAATACTCTCATCGAATTTCCCGCTTCAATTCATATTTAACTATCATAAAATACCCATTGTACTAGTGTTTATGAATAGTAGGGAGCATTACCAACTCGTATAGGTCTTTTTATCAGATGAACAATTAGGAGTTGTCATATTAAATTGGATGTGGCATCGTTCCATCTCATGAGTTATCATATTAAATTGGATGTGACATCGTTCCATCTCATTCAAATGTAAAAAGTTGGTTGATTCCAAGTGACATCGTCTTAATTGTATATATAGTAAAGGCCGATATGCAAGGTATGCGGCTATTAATTCAATATAGCCATAATCTTACGAAGATCCGAATACCAAACATCCTGGAGCCTGCTAATTTATCATCAGTTGATGGCCTGAGCCCAGATGGTTTAACTTTAGTAACTTAGTCCTTTAGCTAAATCCTTGATTTGAGTTCACAATCACATACATTTCTTCTTTTCCAGAAAATATTAATTTAAATTAGGATAATACTGCCGAGACAAAATTATAAATAAATTCTCTAAATTTATTAATTAGGCTTTTATACCAATCCTTATCTCTTCCCTTGGACATGTGTCATGTGAAACTAAGTTTTTAAAAAAAAATATAGGCGGATAATTAGAGCCATTCGTTTTAAAAGAAATAAATTATTTAAAGAAATCCCGGAAACGATATCCAAAATTCCCTAGTATTCAAAATAATTTCTAACATTTTTATTAATTCGAAAAATGTTTCCCTTCCCTCGAGGCATATTTTTTCGGTCAATTTTTTTGCATTCTTAATGAGATTGTAATAGAATAGTTGCCCTAAAAAACAAATTAACTTTGCATCACAAAAATTGGCTTTTTTCCTATTAAATATTTATTTATTGGAACCAATACGATTCACTTGTGCCGGGAAAAAGAATTCTCGGTCTGGGCAGGTTTTTTTGATTTTTTTTTTGCAAACTTAGGATGGGAATTTTACATTAGTTGACAATTATTCAAATAATTAATTATAATCTTTCATTCCACTAAAAAAAACGCAAAAATTAGGTTTTCCATAGTGATGATGATATTTAGCAATTACGGTGGGGGAAAATACTGGTATTTCAATCACGCGCCTTGGAATGGATTTACTATCACTGATCTCGTATTTCCTTTGTAAATATTTGATATTTCATATATTCTTATAGGGCATACGTCCAAACCCCACAAAATAATATGTTTTATATATCTTTACCTGTTAATTGGGCGGATGATGGTAAAATGCCTAAACCTTTTATATTCTTATTTTAATCAATTCGTGCTTTATATCTTTACTAGATAAACTAGAGAAGTAAAGAAACATGATTCAACGTTACAGTTTTTTTCAGAAAGATACTTAGGGTTTCTGGAACCGATTCCGAAGGATTCGAGATTCGGCAGAAAATTTAATATTGCATCTTATATTTTCTAGTATCAATTGAAACCAGTGACCTAATTATATAATTTACTTTGATATCTATTGCGCATTTAAACTATAACACAATATTTATGATTTTATGTAAAGTTTTGTGTTTGCTATGGGTTTTTCCTTTGTGATATCGCTGAGAAAGAAGTTCAGCGCAAACTTCATATTGAACAAATGGAAAATTGTAAGGCAAGTGATTATACGGTCTTTGTTGCTTTTCTTTCTTGGATTCATAGTGAGCAATATAAAAGGTTTATTTTATTTATTTTACTCAAATTATTAAATTACATGAAAGTTTATTATGCAATCTCATCATTTTATAAACCATAAATCATTAACCACTATTTTGGTATAGTTCCCATCTTGCAAGATGACCCAATCATGAACCGAGCCGCTTTTGAATAGTCTGCAGTTTTAAAATATTTTATAAAAATGTATAACATTTGAAATATAATTTTAACGTTTAGCGGAAAATTTATTAGAATTTAGAATAATGGGCGTTCTCCAAAGGCTAGCATTCGTGTATCTCCTTCTGTCATCTATCCTATTGCTTCCTTTATTCCCTAAGGTTAATTCTTATATAAGCTCAATTAATATATAATATACAGAGTTGATAAAATATAATTTTTGAATCAGGAGCAGACTGGCGTGGTTTTGGCTTCTTAGCTAAATTACTTTATCGACCAACCCTATACCCATCATCTTGCTGGCCTTCGTCTCTCATTTGCACCGGGTAGAAACCTTTTTAAAGGCTTTTTTATATTTTTGGTTTGACGAAAACATGTCCAAAACGATGGATTAAAAATTATATTACATATTATAGCTATTATAATTTTTTATCCATAAAGAGAAAAAAACAGAGCATGACTTGGTAGAGCTAATAATTTATTTTAGGAATTTTTCATATAAAATAAAATGTACCTGCACTTCGTCCAGAGCCAAATGCCAAAACAAAAAGTTTGGAAGAACTAAATTTAATACCAAATAGGCAAATTTAATCATGCACGAAAAAGTCATTCTCATTCTACTACTTTTAATAAATGAATTTAGCCGTTTTGGTTGTCACTATTTCCTATAAGTTGTTGTATTTTTGAGATTTTTTAGATCACTTCACAATATAAAATCATACTTATGGTATATATAAAATTCTAGACATTTTACAGAGGCCTGTGAAAGCCCGTTTTTTTTGAAATTTTTATTTCCTTTATTTCTCTAATTTTTATTTGGGTTTCCTTAATTGTGGTTTTTAAAGTGTAACCGAATTTATTTCCCCCAGGCTGTCAAAAATCCCATGGCCTATACACATAAAATAGTTAAAAATGATACATATTGCACAGAGAAATAGACTTTATTGCACATATTAAATCACTCATATTACAAATATTTAATAAATTTATCATTTAGTTATAAATATGGACAATTAATAAGAATTTCTTCTAGTTCAATTTGCTCCAACAATTCTCTTTCAACGGGCATCAATAAAAAAATTCCTCCAATATATATTGTCAAATACTCCCCCCCCCCTTTTCACAATTCACTTACATAAGTTGATAATGTCAAAATACATTGGCAAAAAAATGAGATTAATTAATATTTTTTTCATCAAAATGTCACTGAGGCAAATATTGTGTATTCATTATAGGCTCTTTATTCACCGAAAACCTTTTGGTCAGACTATTTTTAATTTGATCAATTATTGACTCGAGTTCATCTTTGCATTTGTCACTGTACGTCCTCCTTGTTCAACTTAATCTATTTGGCATTTCATTATGCACTCATATATCTAATAGCTTTAAGTCGAAAATCTTTTAAATCTATAGCCATTTTTATAGATTTATTGTGGATAGATATGAGGGTTATAAATGATATGGAGAATTTGTCATTTTTAATGATTTCCCAAGCTGATTAAATATCTATAATTTTTCAGATAAAAGTGACCTCCCTCATTCATTATATAAAATTTCCAAAAAATTGAGCTTAGCGATTTATATTTGCACAAATTTTTAATCAAGATTGAGTTTAACAATCAATTAATACTGTATTATTATTAATAAAACATCCATGCCAAGCTGATTAAATTAATTATATTATACCTAAGGTTTTGCTTAATTCCAATGCAACAATATTTAATATTATTTACATAAAATGTATAAATCAATTAAAACTTATTATCATTCAAACGGAAAATGGATTTTGTATAAATGAATAATATAGCCAAATGATAATCCTCGATGTTATGTATTGATTAAAAGTATGGGGGGGGGCTATAAATAAAAAAAATAGCCATAGATATTATAATATATATCTAAATGCTAAAAAAATGAAATTTTAATAATATAAAACATGAATTAAAGAAAAAAAGCTATTTTTTATTTTTTAGGTCTCATTTTTCTTCTATCAACTATAAATATCGACATTTTTGCAGCCAGGTAGCCAAAATGCCCACTTGGTCTTATGGTCAGTCCGCCACTGTTTTGAAATTTTTTTAACCTTTATAACCCCACCCTGGGCTTTATTATAGGGTAACGTAATAAAATAGTACCGAATTTGCATATTAATTCTATTTTCCCTAAATAATTTACTATATTTTTGAAAAAATGATTCTTATATGATCATATATGATGGCGTACATATTTATAGTTTAATGTTGAAAGTGGCAATCACGTGAGACATATTTTTCGCGTAACCATACATAATTTATATAAACGAAGTATTTATAAAAATGTGACATTTCATTTTTTAAAAATGTTTTTTAGAACCGAATATTATTTCGTCATAAACTGTCGGACATATTGGAATTTTTATCAATGGCTTTATTATGTTCATTGCAACTTATTTATATATTCGGCAAAGCTCTGAATTGCCCTAGGTTTGACGAAATTTTTTTTTAAAAAATTATTTATTATTTATATAATCAGCTGTAAGTTAAGGTTTTATTTATTTTTTTCAAGTTTTATTTAAAAAAGAAACAATATATGCTTATGAAGACGGTGCAGCCCGAATTGACCCTTAGTAATTTTTGAAATGGGTTTTCGACCCAGCCGGATGTACTATGATAAGTTCAATACAGTGATATTAACAAAATGGTATTTCTTTCACTATGAGTAATGCTCTCATTACCATTATTGACAAGAGTAATACACATGATAAAAGTAATGTATATTAAAGGTCCTCAAGGCCTGGCTCGTTTCGGCCTCTTAAGATTTTTGCTCTGCTACCTCCCATTATTTAAATGTTTGCCCGGTTGTAAGAACCCTATAAATAAATTTCTAATTCGGCTCGAAAAATTTAACGAAAAGTCTGGCACAGTCTTTTAAAATTTTATAAAATCGAGGCCCGGCCCTTTAATATTAATATGCTAAAAAATGATGGAAAGATGTTACACTCGATTCCAAGCTCTAAAAACCATTATTTCATGAACTCAGAACAAAATTAAGATTAATTTTGCACATATACAGTTTACAAAAAATATTTAGCTACTAAAAAATATCGAATAAATTTTAAGTAATGGCGATAATTGGGTTTGGAATATGTTTTTTTATAACAAAGGTAAATTTTTTTTTTATTTACTAGAAAAGGTTCAATAGAAAATTAAAATTTGCTGAAATATTTATAGAACAAAATTAAATAAAATATATAATTTATTATTTTAATTCAATTACAAAAAAAAATATATGAAATAAATCTAGCGCCAACCAAATCTAAACATCAACTAATTAATCCTGCTAATATGCTTTAATGCCCTAAGGCCTAAAACCAGGAATTTTTTTATTGGAAGAATAAAATATTTATTATTATTCTAAAAAAGATTAGGGTTAAAATTGAAGGCAACAATGATGCGGGTTAGAATTAATATTATACTAAAAAATGGATGTTATTACATATAATAAATATATTACCCTATAAAATCATGTGTCTAACCAAACCTTAAAAATTGATCTAAAACTATATAATATAATATTTATTACCGAACCAAATTTTTTAAAGAAATTTAAAGCAGCTAACGGATCCTCTATAAACCTATATAATCCGAATTTGCATTTATTTTATAAGTATTAAATAATATTTCTTTTTATTGTGTCTTATCTTCTCTAGGCCGTTATTTTAAACTAATATGTATTTTAAAAAAATGAATCTATTATGTAAATAATACACTTGTAGTATTATTTAGTATATCCCTAAAAACAATATATATCAATCTATATTGTTAAATAAGTATATATAATCATTTTATTGTCTGATCCTAGTGTATAATTTTCTATTCCATATTTCCAAATAGAGGTGGGCGCGGGCCGTGAAATCGGCGTGAGTGTGAATAAATTTTAAATTCCAAGGCGTGACGGGCCTTCCCAAAATTTTCCCCGGGCGTGATCGGGCGTGAACATAAATTTCCCGTGAATCACGGAAATTTAAATTTTTAAAATTGTTTTTTATAAATATAAATTTGCAATTTTTTAATTATATTATATATTTTCTTATTTAATTTAGTTATTTTTTAAAAAAAAATAATTTATGAAAACTAAAAATCTTCCGCATTATATAAACAACATCCGGTATCATTTTGTTAGTTCAATTTTCTTTTTATGTTTAGGTGTTTTTTATCGCGAGACTTTATGCTAAATTTTGCTTAAACTTTTTACAGAAAAGTCAGTTATATTTTATTTGTAAAGATCTTCAATCTTTAAATGCAACAGAAAGTGAAGGATTTTAAAGCTAGGCAAGAGATAAATGTTGGTGTTACATATGGATAACAAAATATAAAAGTTGTGAACCGGAAAACTCTCATGAATACTATAGGTCCAAAAATATACCATAAAATAAAATTTAAGATTAAAAGCATGATCAATAATAATTACTTGTCCATAATCACTGATATTTGACGGATGACTATAAAAATCTAAGTTTTTTAACCATTACAGGACATATTATCATTAAGGATTTTAAATTAAAAACTTGGCCACAAGGGCAATGGATGAAAAAAAACGTCAAAATTAAAAGTGTAGTCAATTCAATTTTAGGAGAATATTCAGAAGTAGAAAATTATTTAAAATGTAGTTGTGAGTGATAACGGAGCAAATCTTATAAGTGCATTCAAAGATGACGAAACGCTAGCATGTATATGCCATATACTAAATAATATTATGCATTATATTTTTGACAATTGTTTAACTGAAATAGCCTTAAATATAAATGGTGTAAAAAAATAGTACAATATTTCAATCAATCTACAGCTAATATCAAACTAAGCCACATCCTTAAGATGTAAAAGCGAGAATAACGAGATGGAACTCTAAATATATCATGATACACAGAGTTTCTTAAAATCATATTCTGAAATACAGGTGTACTTGTTTAGCAAGCAAAAATTAAATAAATTTGCCACAATTGATATTAGTATCATACGCGAGTTAGATAAATTTTTATCAATATTTAAAGAATGCTCGGATAATCTGAGAGCAGATTCTCCTCCCACAATAAATGAAGTTTTTCTATGGAAACAAAAATTAATAAAATTTTGTTAACCTTCTAAACGTGATACAATAATAATCAAAACCTTAAAATACAGAACAAGATTTCTTTTAAAAGATTATTATGCAGCCACTACATAAGGTAGGCTTAATTCTAGATTCGAATTTCAAAAGACTTAAGTTTTTAATAAAAGAAGAAAATGATATATATATAACAATCATAAAAATGCTAAATGATATAAAAATAGATGATATGCATAAGTCGATGCCAATTATCATTTATAACTTTCCTAACTTATCCTAAACTCATACAAAACCGTATATTCTAAATGGTCAATATCACTTTCCAAATTCATCCTACACTCATAAAAGACCGTATATTCTAAAAAAAGAGAATTTCTAGATGATTCTGATGAAGCATCAACATCACCTATGAAAGCTGTGAGGATGAACTTAAAAGATTCATATAAGATAAATAACGACAATATTTTGAAGTTTTGGAAGCAGGAATATTCATTTCCTTTTTTGATAAAATTATCGAGTAAAATTTTGTCAGCTGCAAGTTCGGCTTCTAGTGAAAAGTTATTTTCTGTAGCCAATCTCTTATTAGAGACGCATACACAATTGAAATAAAAAAAGATGGACATTCTTCTTTTACTAAATAAATTTCGATTTATAGATTATATTTATTTTTTGTTATTAATATGGATTAGGAAATTAGAGAAATAAATAGAATCAATTCAAAAAAGTGTAAAATTATAGCAATAGTTTTGAAAAATTTAAAAACACCGTGAATTTTCTGGCGTGACGGGCGTGAATCAAAATATTGCTTGTCGTGGAGCGGGCGGGTCGAGTCGAAAATATTTTAATGGTAAGCGTGAGTGAGCGTGAATTTTTTATAGCCACCGTGAGCGGACGGATCGTGAATGAAAAATTAGGCCCGCGCCCACCACCTCTATTTCCAAAGACAAAATAATATATTCAAATTACAACAAAAAAATAAATAAATCTGTTTTTTATTTCTTTTTCCATGGTCCTTTTGTTTTTCTCCTTTTCATTCGTCACCTTACATATTTCCATATATGACACTACTATAATATTACTAATAAATATTAATCTTTCTTAAAATGAACGATACTTTTATCATGGTATTACTTTTATCGCATTGTTCCTTGTGCCCTACACCGGCCTATAAATTTTTTTTGCCCGGCTTGGCTCGTAAAATAATGCTATGATCTGGAATAGATTATGAAGGAAAAAGACTTAAATTTAAATTTCCTGTCCGAATTTTTTGGAATTTGGGCCATAGCGCTCCGATTTTAATGCTTAAGGAATAAATTTTATTAATTTATTTTCAGCGAATTTATGTTTAATAAATTAACATTGTTTTTCCTATTTTTTAACTAAAAAAACCCAGAGGTTATAATAATCCAGGAGGCCTATACGATAATTCATCGTTTAAACAGTGTGTAGGTGGGATAACTGGATATATAGATAGAGTTATTTTGACTCCCAAGCATATGTACCAACATCCTACATTTAAAGTAAGCCAGATGGGTCTATTAATTTTTACTAAGGAATAATCATTTAATTTGATTGAGTTATAAAATTTGCACACAGCTCGGCCCAGCCTAAAAGATATTTGACGCAGTCCGATCTAGTTCGAAAGCATTTTGGGAGTTTGGGTCGGGCCGCGCAATCTAATATAGATTATTCGTTATATTTATGATAAATTATGCAAACCGCTATTTTTATTTTAACGCAAGGAATTATATATGACCGATATCCCTTTCGACCCTGAGGGAATACTGGGAACTTTTTCAGCTACAATTTTAGCCTATATTGGAGCACGAGTATGTTTATTTATTAATAAAATATTTATTGCTGTTTCTTAAATAATAATATTTTTTATAAAGATTTTAATTATAATTTAATAGGCATTTTTCAAGCTAAAATGAGTTTGAATAAAAATGATTTGCATAATTTTATATACTTTATAGTTTTTCCCAACAATGGTGTGTAGTTACGTATTATTAAAGAAAGAACCCTATTAACAATGGCATATATATACCACTCAACAGTAACGCGTTATTTTTTTTAACTTTAAACGGCGCTATTTATTGATTTTTTAAGTATCTTAATTAATTAAAATATTATTACTTAAAATAAATCCTTTTATTTATGAAACTGGAAATTATATTTTACAAGATAACAAAATTTATCTCTGATATACAACTGTTAAAAAAAATAAGTAGCAAGACAAATCTAATAAAATATTTAATGATATATAAATAATAATTTGAATAATTTTTTAAAATAAGAAATAAAAGTTAACTTAATAAAATGCTATGATATGAAATAATATAAAGATCCAAATAATGTAAAGTTATTTGAAAAACAATATCAAATAAAATGTTTTAAGAAAAATAATTAAATAATGTAACTTATAATTGAATATGTTAATTTATGGTTTTAAACATAATCTAAAAATGCTTATTAAATTTTATTAAGCTCATATGTTTTAAATTATTAAAATTAACCATCTCAACAATTAAATTTTCAGACAACCTACAGAGGTCAAATTCTTTAGTCCCCGGATTTATAAAAATTCCCCATTAGCTTGTGTAACTAATTTTCGTTTTAGAAATTGGTTTTAAAAGATCAAAAATATCAGAAACGAATGAATGACTAAATGATTTCATCTCATAAATTTTCCAGATGGTAAATAATTCATTTTTTAAAAAAAAATTCGGCCAGGTCCGAGTTTTACACATTTTTAAAATTTATAAATTTCGGTAAGACTTTGGGTTCTGTAAATTGGTTCAAAATCCGGGTCAGGCACAAACTTAAAAAAATTTCTAAAAAATAAAAATGCCAAATGATGTTTTCGCTTTTTATTCAAATTTTTCTTTGTTAATAGCGGTTTGTCAGGGTAAGCCAGTTTCTATTATGGTCCTGGGCATCGTGATTTGTGTGACCCATTATTCTTTTAGTTTTTCTCGAGTGTTGTGGTCATAACGTGATTTTGGAGCGGTTATTCTTTACGATCGCGTTTGATTCCTGAAATCACACTTTTAGGTGTCTTAAGACGTTACCACTTTCCCACCACTTTGAGATAGAAAATATGATTTTGAAGGAGTTTATTTAAATAAAATGATAATTAAAATTTATCTCCGACTACAAAACAATTCGATATCTTTTATTTAGCTTAATAAAAATGTACTAAATATTTTATAATTTTTTCAATTATGAATTCAGACCAGCCTCGGGCTTGAAAAGTTTAGTAATAATTAGTAGGCTTTTACTTTGAACCTGCATCTGATTTTTAAATATAATCTTTCCTTAAAACAGCAGTATAAAATGAGTTTTTATTTGACCTGGAAATTGCCATTAAACGGAGAAGAAGATTAATATACGCCTAATTTTTACCAAACGATAAATTTATTCAGGCTGCCAAAGTATTCGTATTATACAACAAATCCCAAAATTATAACTCGATTATGAAAATATGGGGCTTATCAGCTTGCATAATGGTAATTTTAATTTAAAAGATAAATGATACTTATTTGTAACATTTCATAATTATCACATAACTCTCTTCTTTAAGGGGGGGGGAGTGACTAATCCACACTACACCAATAGCTTTTTGCTCCCGAAATATTTTATTGTAATATTTTTCGAAAGAAATCAGGTATGATTATGACCGTATCAGGTCAATTCAGCGAAACTTTTATCGCGAAAAGTTTTTATAGCGAAGGTAAAATCGCGAAACCAATTCTGCGAATTTGTCTCCGCGAAATATTTATAGCGAAGACAATTTCGCGAAGCCATTGTCGCGAATTTATTAGAGCGAATACATTTTAGCGAAACATTTTACGCGAACACTTTACAGCGAATTTTTTATCGCGAATATGTGCGCGAAGTCATTATCGCGAGCGCATTACCGCGAAACAATAAATATATTGCGAATGCATTTATTTAAAAGAAAACAACATATTATTTATTATTTGATGTTTTTTAATAAAAAATGATATGCTACTATTGTAATATTATTTTTGTTACAATTTATTATGATTTTCACGCCATATTTCTTGAAGTTCAAAAAGATTTTTGTACATATTATGATAAAAATTTTAAATCTTCTTTTGTAAATATATCTTTTTTGAGAATTCTTTTGTGAAATTTATTATAAATAAATATACAATTTTTAGGTGAAATCTTTTATAGTTTTTTTTTATCATTTTTGTAAAATTATCTATTTCTTAAGTATATTAAAAGAGGTTTTCTAAATAATTTTTTTAAATATTTATATTTAACTTATTTATGTTATTTTATGATCTTTTTAAGGATAATATTTTAATGTGACAATTGTCATTCGTTATTTTTAAGATTTTTGAAATTTTTTAACTCAAAAGGGTAAAAATATCACTTATATTGTAAAGATGTTAAATTATAAATTCAATGAAGATGTTCCTTGGAAATATGCAATTATCATAATCGGTATTATTAAACATATTAGATTTTTTTAACGCTAATGGGCAAAAATATGTATTTTTAACATGTTAAATTATAATTTCAATTAGGATGTACCATATAAAAGCGACAATAGTCATAATCATTATTTTTAAAGTTTTTTTACAATTTTTTGACGCAAATGGGCAAAAATATAAGTTGTTACATATTAAAATAAAATTTCAGTGAAGATGTACCATAGATATAAGTTAAAATTGTCATAATCGTTATTTATAAAGTTTTTTGAATTTTTTTGTTGTAAATGGGTAAAAATATAGATTGTAAACATGCTTAATTAAAATTTCATGAAGATCTACCATTGAAAAACAATTGTCATAATCGTTGTTTATAAAGTTTTTTGAATTTTTTTGTTGCAAATGGGTAAAAATAGATTGTAAACATGCTAAATTAAAATTTCATGAAGATCTACCATTCAAAAGTGACAATTTTCATAATCGTTATTTTTAAAGATTTTTGAATTTTTTTGACTAAAATGCGTTAAAATAAATATTGCTGGCATGTTTAAATAAAACTTCAGTGAAGATGTAACCTAGATAAGTGACAATTATCATAATCATTATTTTTAAATTTTTTTAACGTAAATGGGTAAAAATATAGATTGTAAACATGTTAAATTAAAATTTCATGAAGATGTACCATAGAAAAGTGACAATTGTCATAATCGTTATTTTATAACTTTTTTGAATTTTTTTGACGTAAATGGGCTAAAATAAGTATTGCTAACATGTTTAAATAAAATTTCAGTGAAGATGTACCATAGATAAGTTACAATTTTCATAATCGTTGTTTATTTTGAATTCTTTAGTTGTAAATGGGTAAAAGTATAGATTGTAAACATGCTAAATTAAAATTTCATGAAGATATACCATTGAAAAGTGACAATTGTCATAATCGTTATTTTTAAAGTTTTTTGAATTTTTTTGACCAAAATGGGTTAGAATAAATATTGCTAGCATGTTTAAATAAAACTTCAGTGAAGGTGTACCCAAGATAAGTGACAATTGTCAAAATTGTTATTTTTAAAGTTTTTTGTAATTTTTTAACCAAAATGGGTATAAATATAGATTGTAAACATGTTAGATTAGAATTTCATGAAGATGTACCATAAAAAAGTGACAATTGTCATAATCGTTATTTTATAACTTTTTAAATTTTTTTTGACGTAAATGTGCTAAAATAAGTATTGCTAACATGTTAAAATAAAATTTCAGTGAAAATGTACCTTATTTAAGTGACGATTGTCATAATCTTTATTTTTAAAGTTTTTTGAATTTTTTTGACGCAAATGGTTAAAAATATAGATTGTAAACATGTTAAATTAAAATTTCATGAAGATGTACCATAGAAAAGTAACAATTGTCATAATCGTTATTTTATAACTTTTTGAATTTTTTTGACGTAAATGGGCTAAAATAAGTATTGCAAACATGTTTAAATAAAATTTCAGTGAAGATGTACCCTAGATAAGTGACAATTGTCATAATCGTTATTTTTAAACTTTTTTGAAATTTTTTGACGCAAATGGGTAAACATAGATAGTAAACATGTTAAATTAAAATTTCATGAGGATGCACCATAGAAAGGTGACAATTGTCATAATCGTTATTTTTAAAATTATTTGAATTTTTAGACGCAAATGGGCAAAAATATAAATTGTTTATATGTTAAAATAAAAATTCAGTGAAAATGTACCTTATTTAAGTGACGATTGCCATAATCGTTGTTAATAAGGTTTTTTGAATATTTTTGTTGCAAATGGGTTAAAATATAGATTGTAAACATGCTAAATTAAAATTTCATGAAAATATACCATTGAAAAGTGACAATTTTTATAATCGTTAATTTTAAAGTTCTTTGATGTAAATGGGTTAAAATATAGAATGTAATCCATTTTAACCATAATAAAATCTTAACATTAAATTTATATTATGTTGATTGTATCATATTACTAAATAATATTCATATGGTTTTTAAGTTCTTTCTATAAAAATGCTACCCTGAATTCAGACTCAGCACTATTTTGCCAGGAGTATACAAAAATATTTGCTAACTGTGAATGCAAGGTTATACATTTTTATAATGTAGAATTAAAATTTATTAATTAAAGGAATAAGATTGTGAATCCATAGCTTAAAAGTTTAGAATTTAACATAGGTTACAACTATCTTTAATAATCACTTTGCATATTTTTATCAAATTTTAAGCAGGATAAAAGAAACAACGATTATGAGAATGAAAATATCGATTTGTTTTTTTTGTTTGGACTGAAATTTTTTTAACATGTTAACAATTTATATTTTTGTCCAATTGCGTCAAACAATTCAAAAACTTTAAAATTAACGATTATGACTATTGTCACTTATCTAGGGTACATCTTCACTGAAATATTATTTTAACATGTTAGCAATTTATATTTTAGCCCATTTGCTTCAAAAAAATTTAAAAACTTTTAAAAATAACGATTATGACAATTGTCATTTTTATAAGGTCCGTGAAGTTGGCCCCACACTTTTTGATTTCAATGGTTTATCAGTTGGACTGATTTGTACCGTTTTCAGTTGGATTTGTACCAGCACCGTTTTTGAGATATTCAAAGAACAAAATGGGGGGCCAACTTCACGACAGGCCCCCAACTTTTGAACTTAAAAATAAAAAGTGCATAGGTCGATAGAGAATGATTTGTACCGTTTTCAGTTCGATTTGTACCATCACCGTTTTTCAGCTATTCCGTTAAAAATATGGCACCAAAAATAAAAAACACTCATAATTTATTTTTTTTAACGTTCATTATTTATTTCAGTAATCAAATTTTAAACCTTATATTATAGCGTGAAGTTAGCCCCCCCCCCCGATATTCAAAATGTGAGATTTTTCAAATTTTTAAAACGGGATTGATTTGTACCCGATTTGTACCGTTTCAAGCTCGATTTGTACCATCACCGTTTTTGAGATATTCAAAGAACAAAATGGGAGGCCAACTTCACGACAGCCCCCCAACTTTTGAACTTAAAAATAAAAAGTGCATAGGTCGATAGAGAATGATTTGTACCGTTTTCAGTTCGATTTGTACCATCACCGTTTTTGAGATATTCAAAGAACAAAATGGAGGAAGGGGGGGGGACTTCACGACAGCTCCCCAACTTTTGAATTTTAAAATAAAAAGGGTATAGGTCGATAGAAAATGATTTGTACCGTTTTCAGATTAATTTGTACTATACAATTTTCCAGCTATTTGAGCGTTTAAAATATGGCGCCAAAAATAAAAAACACTCAAAGTTTTTTTAAAAAAAATTTCTTAACGTACAACGATTGAGAATTTTTTTTCTCTTCCTAATGATACCTTAAATTAAGTTTTAGCTCCATTATATATTTCGGAAATCAAATTTTAAACCTTATATTATAGCGTGAAGTTAGCCCCCCCGATATTCAAATTTTTAAAACGGGATTGAATTGTATCTGATTTGTAGCGTTTCAAACTCGATTTGTACCATTACCGTTTTTAACTATTGACCATTAAAAATATGGCACCAAAAATAAAAAACACTCAAATTTTTTTTTTAAAAATTTCTTAACGTACAACGATAGATAATTTTTTTCTCTTCCTAATGATGCCTCAAATTAAGCTTTATCTTCATTATTTGCGGAAATCAAATTTTAAACCTTATATTATAGCGTGAAGTTAGCCCCCCCCTCCGATATTCAAAATTTGAGATTTTTCAAATTTTTAAAACGGAATTGATTTGTACCGTTTTAAACGCGATTTGTTCTATTACCGTTTTCCAGCTATTTACCGTTAAAAATATGGCGCCAAAAATAAAAAACACTCAAATTTTTTTTTATAACCTACAAACGATAGAGAATTTTTTTCTCTTCCTAATGATGCCTCAAATTATGCCTTATCTTTATTATAAAGCTTTGTGTATATTTTAAATATTTTTACAAACAAAGTCATTAACATGTTGTAATATTTTTCAATTAGTATACATGTTGATATATTTTT